TGGCTCTGTGGATATTTGTAATCGATGTAGCGGCTCTCCCTGTCACCTCACACACGTTTTTCTCCTGTCCAACTCTAGTAAATTTCTAGCAAGCTTATTTTGACACAATGTCAAAGGTGCTCTCTAGACCTATTGATGTTTCTCCACATGTAGCGATCTTTGGTCTCCCTGCTAACCATATGCAGTACTCAGTGCAGCAATTGGAAGTTATCACATTTACATCCTTATTAATAGCTAGACGTCACTTGCTTTTGCATTGGAAGTCCCCCCATCCCCCCTCTACTACACACTGGATTAATGAAATTATGTCATTTTTGAAAATAGAAAAAAAAAAACAGATATTCAAGATGTGGCACACCAAACCTATTTAGTAAAAAATGGCAAGTTTTTTGGACCATCAGTCTGAAACTAATCAGGTGCCACCCCGTCTCTGTCCCAAACTCCCCTTCCCTTGTATATTTGTTTTATTATATGTAAACGTTGATTTTGTTTAAGCACAAATGTGTGGATTTTTTGTTTGTTGGGTTCTCCGTTTTTTTTTTTTTTTAGGAGAAAGGGGTGGGACTATACCGGATCTATTTGTTTTGAGAATGTCTTTTTCAGGTTTTTTTTGTGATGGTTTGTGTCTATTGTACTGCAGTCCAATTGACCATACATGAGCAGTTCTAATATTAACAGGTTCATCAACAGTCACCCAGTTAACTGTGTTAGTTGGAATGTGAAATCCCTCAATGGTCCAGTGAAATTTAGGAAAGTTATGACACATTTAAGACAACTTAATGCTAATATTACTTTTTTGCAGGAGACCCATTTGCGTAAGGCAGACAGTGCAAATCTAAGCAGCCGCTGGTCTGGTCAGGTGTTTCAGTCTAAYTTCCAATCTAAATCGAGAGGGGTGGCAATCTTCATTAGTAAACAGGTGCAATTTACGGCATCCAGTGTTAAAACGGACGCTGCTGGACGTTATGTTATTGTGGTGGGAAAACTATATGCACTTCCTGTCATTTTAGTCTCRGTATATGCTCCAAATTGGGATGATCAAACATTTTTTAATACGCTTTTTTCAAATTTACCTAATATTTCAACACATAATCTCATAATTGGGGGAGATGTGAACTGTGTGCTGTCGTCCCTCGATCGTAGATCGTAGTGGGGAGGATCTCTCTTTCTAAATCAGCCCAGTCAATTAATTAATTTCTTAACAGTTATGGAGTGGTTGACGTGTGGCGTTTTTGTAATCCGACCCTGAGACGGTATTCGTTCTTTTCCCCTGTTCATAAGAGCTATTCACGGATTGACTACTTTCTCCTTGATAAACAGGTCTTACCCTTAGTGAGTGAGTGTGATTATGGAACGATAGTCATTTCTGATCATAGTCCGCTCACAATGAAACTGAACATTCCTGTTACGCAATCGGTCTATCATCCTTGGCGACTTAATCCGATAATTTTATCTGACGAAGACTTAGTTAATAAGCTTGCTTCTGAAATTAAGTTTTTTATTGATGTTAATCGGACTCCCGGGATACCACTCGGCACTGTTTGGGAGTCATTAAAGGCTTACCTGAGAGGTCAAATAATCTCTTACTGTGCAAATAAAAAGAAGAAAAACATCGAACGGCTAAAATCGCTAACAGATCAGATTTTACAATTAGACAGGGAATGCTGCCATGCTTTTATACAAGACTCGCTTAAGAAACGTACATTACTCCAAACAGAGTTTAACATCTTATCTACCCAACAGGCCGAATATTTAATATCCAAATCTTGGTATGGCTACTATGAGCATGGTGAGAGGGCTGGACGCCTTCTTGCACAGCAGCTACGGCAGCGCTCAGCTAAACAGAATATCTCAGCAATAAATGATAAGCATGGTGTAAAATGTTGTGAGAATGCAGGAATTAATCTGTTTCAGCAAATTTGATCAATCTCTGTATACCTCCGAAGCTTCACCTAACCCTATTGAATTGGATGATTTTTTTAAAAATATTAAAATCCCTTCACTAAGTTCTGATCTATCTAACAAGTTGGAAAGAGGTTTCTCTTTGGCTGAGATAAACTCTGCAATTAAAAACATTCAAAATGGAAAATCTCCAGGACCAGATGGTTTCCCAGCATAATTCTTTAAGAAATTTTCGGATCTACTTTCCCCCCTGTTATTATCAGTTTTTGAGGAATCCTTAGCTACACAATTATTGCCACTGTCTATGCGTCAGGCGGTAATTTCCTTGCTTTTAAAGAAGGATATAGACCCTTTGAGCTGTAGTTCATATCGCCCAATATCTCTTTTAAATACTGATGTAAGAATTCTTACAAAGATGTTGGCAAAACGAGTCGAACAGATTATCCCCACAATTGTTGCACCTGACCAGACCAGTTTCATTAAAAATCATCAATCCTTCTTTAATATCAGGCGGTTGTTTAATGTGCTGTATACTTCTGCTCCACCCGGTCACAACTGCAATGAAATTTGGATTGACGTTCTTTAATATCAGGCGGTTGTTTAATGTGCTGTATACTTCTGCTCCACCCGGTCACAACTGCAATGAAATTTTAATCTCGCTGGACGCCGAGAAAGCATTTGACCTGGTGGAGTGGAACTATCTTTTTAAGACCTTGGAGATGTTTAACTTCGGCCCTAAATTTATTTCATGTGTGAAGTTGGTATATACCTTGCCAATGGCAGCAGTACGTTCCAACAGTAATCTATCCAGCTATTTTGAATTGGAACGTGGTACGAGACATTGGTGCCCACTCTCGCCACTCTTATTCGCAATTGCGATTGAACCACTCGCAGTGGCTTTACGGAACAATCCTAAGATTAAAGGTATCAATCGGTTTGGCACTGAACATAAAGTTTCCTTATATGCAGATGATACTCTTCTTTTTATCTCAGATCCCTCCTCGCGCTGAGGCTGCACTGCGTAGAGGCGTGTCCCCCAGATGGTGGATAGGGGGGATCCCTGCTGTGTAGGGTTGTGCCGGAATAAGCTGAAAGGTGAATAGGGTGCCGTGAACCATAAGCAGCCGGGCAGGTGGGGCTCATTAGCCTTGGCAGGCAACCCACCTAGGAAAAGGAAAACTCTGATTTAAAACCCGGGTATTGTCAACACTCGTTAGCCATCTACCCCTGGTGGATGGCAAGTTGGCAAGAATTTTATGATGAGCGGACAAGGGACCGGCCCCCAGTACCCAGGGTTCTAAAATCTCCGGGGAACCAGCCTGTGGCGCCTTGGGTGCGGGTGCCACAGGTGGTCTTACAACAGTGCCTCTGGTCTGCCTGGTGGGAAACCAGGCTGGGCAGGCCAGTACAGTGACTGGAACAACTCTTACTCTGGCGTCAGAGCCTGATACTTATGTGTTGGGCTCTTGACAACCGGAGGACTTAGTGCCTGGGGACTCGGTGACGGCAAGGCATTCTGCCTTTGCTGATGCTGGGTC